TCAGCATCAGAATCACCACCAACATCATCAACATCATCAGCATCAGCAGCATCAGCAGCATCAGCATCAGCATCAGCATCCGCATCATCAGCATCATCGTCATCGTCATCAACATCATCATCCACATCATCGTCATCATCATCATTGTCATCATCATCAGCAGCAGCATTACTACCATCGTTATCATCAGCATCGTCAACATCGTCGTCATCATCATCAGCATCAGCATCACCATCACCAGCAGCATCGTCATCAGCTTCATCATCGTCATCAGCATCATCATAATCAGCATCCGCAGCGTCATCATCAGCATCATTGTCAGTATTGCGATCGTCCTCGTCATCGTCAGCATCATCACCGTCAATCGCATCATCATCATCATCATCATCAGCATCATCAGCATCATCAGCATCAGCATCAGCAGCATCATAATCATCATCAGCATCAGCATCAGCATCAGCATCGTCAGCATCATCAGCATCCTCATCATCATCAGCATCATCATCCTCATCCTCCTCCTCATCATCCTCCGCCGCCGCCTCCTCCTCCTATTATTCCCCTCCTCCTCCTCCTCCTCCTCCTCCTCCTGCTCCTCCTCCTCCTCTTCCTCCTCCTCCTCCCCCTCGTCCTCGTCCTCCTCCTCCTCCTCCTCCGCCTCCTCCTCCTCCGCTTCCTCCTACTCCTCCTCCTCAACCTCATCCTCATCCTCACTATCCTCCACCTCTCGTCCTCCTCGTCCTCCACGTCTTCTTCCTCATGCTCCTCCTCCTCCTCCTCCTCCGCCTCCTCCTCATCTTCCTCCTACTCCTCCTCCTCCGCTTCCTCATCCTCCTCCTGCGCGGCCTCGTCAGCAGCATCATCGCAATCATCATCAGCAGCAGCATCACCATCATCATCAGCATTATCATCATCAGCATCAGCATCAGCATCAGCATCATGAATCGTCGCCATCATCAGCAGCAGCATCAGCAGCATCAGCATCATCAGCATCATCATCAGCATCAGCATCAGCATCAGCAGCAGCATCCGCATCATGATCGTCACCATCATCAGCAGCAGCATCAGGATTATCAGCATCATCAGCATCATCAGCATCATCATCGTCATCCTCATTATCAGCATCATCATCATCACCATCATCATCAGCAGCAGCATCAGCATCATCAACAACATCAGCAGCATCAGCCTCATCATCAGCATAAGCATTAGCATCAGGATCGTCATCATCATCAGCAGCAGCATCACCATCATCAGCATCGTCAGCACCATCAGTATCAGAATCAACATCATCAGCGTGATCAGCAGCATCAGCGTCATCAGCGTCGTCATCGGCATCACCATCATCACCATCAGCATCGTCATCATCCACAGCATCATCATCAGCATCATCAGCATCGTCACCATCGCCATCGTCATCGTCACCATCATCACTGCTCATCACCATCATCATCATCATCATCAGCATCTTCATCATCAGCATCAGCATCATCATCAGCATCATCATCTCGTCACCGCCATCAGCACCATCGTCATCAGCAGAAGCATCAGCATCACCAGCATCAGCATCAGCATCATCAGCATCATCAGCATCGTCACCACCATCCGCATCATCAGCATCGTCTTCCTCATCATCAGCATCATCACCATCATCGTCATCATCATAATCACAATCATCAGCATCAGCAGCATCATCATATTTGTCATCATCGTCAGCAGCATCATCATCAGCATAATCATCATCAGCATCATCATCAGCAGCATCAGCATCCTTATAATCATCATCAGCATCATCGCCATCATCCGCATCATCAGCATCATCAGCAGCATCATCAGCGTCAGCATCGTGATCAGTATCGCAAGCATCAGCAGCAGCATCATCATCATCGTCATGATCAGCATCATCATCAGCATCAGCATCCACATGATCATCATCAGCATCATCATCATCATCCCCCCCTCCTCATCCGGCTCCCCCCATCCTCATCGTCCTATGTATTATCATCATTCTCATCCTCCTCATCCTCCTCTTCCTCCTCCTCTCCTGCTCCTCCTGCTCCTCCTCCTCCTCGTCCTCCACTTCCCACGCCCCAATCCTCAAAGCGGTGCGCGTCCCACCTTCACTCCTCCCTACACCGTCTACCATCCACCCTTCGCCGATGTCTCCGCCGCCTCCACAAAGTTCCTCCTCCTCCTCATCCTCCTCCTTCCTCCTCCTCCTCCTCCTCTGCCGCCTCCCTGCCTTGCTGCCTCCGCTGCCGACCTTCCTCGCTCCCCCCCTCCCTCTCCTCCTGAGCCTCCCTCCTCATGCTGTTGCTCATCATCCGACGTCTCTCTCACATTCCACAGCATCATCGTCCTCATCATCAGATTCGGCAGTATATGTCATGAACGGGTTCATCAACATCAACACCGACAAAAAACACCATCATCACCACAATCGCCATCATCAAATGAATCATAACAGTCGTGATGGTCGTACTCATCATCAGCATCATCACCATCATCATCGTCATGTTCACCATCAGCATCATCATCAGCAGCATCAGCATCAGCATCAGCATCCTCAACAACATCATCATCAGGATTATCATCATCAGCAGCAGCAGCATCATCAGCAACAGTATCAGCAGCATCATCATACTCAGCAGCAGCATCGTCATCATCGTCATCACCATCAGCAGCATCATCAGCGTCAGCATCGTCATCATCATCACCACCATGATCATCAGCAGCATCCCATTCATCGCCAACATCCTTGCCACATCCACAGCATCCTCATCATCATCAGCAGCGGCATCATGTGCAGCAGCAGCAGCATCAACATAAATCATCATATCATCATCATCATCGCCATCATCATCATCATCATCATCATCATCATCATCATCATCATCAGCATCAGCATCAGCATCAGCATCAGCATCATCATCATCAGCATCAGCATCAGCATCATCATCATCATCAGCATCAGCAGCATCGTCATCATCATCATGAGCAGCAGCATCATCAGCAGCACAACCAGCATCAGAATCATAAGAATTGTCATCGTCGTCATCATCAGCATCACCATCATCAACAGCAACATCGTCAGCCGCAGTACCATAACCAACAGATTCAGCAGCAGCAGCCAGAGCAGCAGCAGCATCATCATTACCAGCATGATCAGCAGCAGCCGCAGCAACACCATCATCGCCATCATCATCAACATCATCATCGACATCCATAGCCGCCTCATAAATCGAAATCACTCACAGAACCTACTATCGCAGGATCGGCATCAGCATAGCCAACACCATCATTATCGCCGCTAAACCACCATTACCATCGCCATTGAGGCCATGATCGTCATCAACAGAAGCACCATCGTCAGCAGCATGCCCACGTTGTCATCGTCAACACAAACAAAGCGTGAGCATGTCATCATCACTCTTGCCAACATCGCCATCATCGTCACCACCACCATCGCTTAGAGCGACCTTACCGTCCACGTTAGAGACGACATCATCACCCCACAGACATCCTCAACCACCCCACCATAATCCGCAGTATCACACATCTCACCATAAATATATATATATAATCAACATTACTAACCCACATGTTCCACCCTGTGCCATCGTTTACTGCTCCTGGCTGGTCCTTCTCCTCTCCATCCACCAAATCATTCTCCATATCACCGGTGACCCCCACAGCATCCTCCTCAATACGAACTCTCATCCACCACATTGTCCTCCTGTTACTGCACCTAGACCGTCGTATCTGCATCATCCAGCTGGTCGCGCCTTACAAATTCCCAAGACAGACCTTGCCCTTGCGGGTTATCCTCGAAAGAACTGGCCCTGAATGTTGGTCTGGCGGCTCCGTGCTGGCCGTCAGCGCCCCATCGCCGCCTCGTCGCCGCCCGTCGTCTGGGCCTAGGGGGCGGTCTGGAGGCTCCGTGCTGGCCGTCGCCGCCCCATCGCCGCCTCGTCGCCGCCCGTCGTCTGGGCGGTTTTGTTCTGCTCTTCGACACAAGCGTCTTGCGTTCCTACGACCTGGCTCGATAGTAAGCATGGAGCGCCACTACAAAATGTCAGCCAGCGTGGACCCCGACAGCGTGATTCTAGCAATCTATGCTGTGCAACCCTCAAAACCCCTATGTACCAGCACTATGTGCAAGCACTGTGTGCAAGCACTACTGAGGACCCCTATGTGCAGGCACTGTTCGAAGAAAGATTCCGCCGACGAAGGAGGGCTGCTCGGACAACTGCAGGGCTCAAGCATACGGCCTGAACTGCAGTTCGTTCCAGCTGGAGCAGCACAAAGGTCGGAATGTCGCAACAATTCGCCGCACCGTCAGAGAGGGCTGACCCTAAACGGTATTTTTCGTTTCCGTTTTGTTTTCGTTTTCCCTCGTTTTGTCTTCAATGCACCTCTACGGCGAAACGAAGTCGAAACGAAAACGGCCCACGAAATCGCCAAAACACCGTTTAGGTCCAGCCCTGCCGTGAGACGTGCAGGTAACGAGATTTACAGGGTGAGACATCCAGAGTCCAACGTGCAGACGCCACAGGTTATGCTTTGAAACATCTCGCTGTGCGTGAAAGATCTTCACCGCTCGCGTCATCAGTAATTAGGCCAGTGTGCAGCCTGCACTCGCTGTGACTCTCCGCTGCGGAGGCCTGGAAAGTCGACTGATTCCAAAGCAGTTGCCTAAGATGCTTCGGCAGGATTATGAAGACACATGTTTCGCAGCGGAACCAACTCACCCGTAGTTGGCATGTGGCAGGCTAACGCCAACTCCATGATAAGCATGTTGTTGGATAAGCGGCTCGAATGGATGGGGACATCGGCTCGATGAAACATTACCGACATGGTGAGACAATACACATTCGACACCAGCAAGGTCCTCTCAGCACACGGAGCTGGCAGGCCTGATCGCCGTCCTCCTCCTTCTCCTCCTCGTTCTCCTCCTCCGCCTCCTCCTCCTCCTCCTCCTCCCCCTCCCCCTCCTCCTCCTCCACCCCCCCAGAACCCCTTCCGGATTCACTCTATTTCAGCTGCACGCGGCAATTGACAAGCAAGATTGCGCTGCAATGAAAAAAAATCTCTACGCCAAGAACGAACAGCTTCGGGTGGCAAGGCGCTCATCCGCGCAATGACGTCGAACGAGCTGTCACGCCAGAGTGCAGGTGCTGGATGCCTTGGGCAGAAGGGGGGATCTATTCAGGAGTTCACAAGATACAAAAACAATCTCGACCAAAATAAGCGTCGACGGGATCCCGCGACATCTTGGCCATGGTTGCTCTTCCCTCAACATGAGGACACCTGCCCCGAGGGCCTCGCGGAGGCGCGGGTACCTGGGCCAACCAAGTTTGGGAGCCGACCGCGGGACCTCCTCGGCCTCACCGAGGACCGCCGGGGTCCGCGTCACTGGTGCACGCGTCGACTAAAACCTTCACAGTTGAAGACGGTGTTCGCTCCAGCCCAACGGCTAAACCCTCATCGTTTCAGCCGAGAGAAACTCGTCTGCCTGTCCAGTAATTCCTCGTGGCTCACTTGCCACTGAAGCCGAGAGCGACACATCACCAGAGTTGGACGTTCCGTCTGTCTTATTGGAAACACATCCGACCACTTCTTCCCTCCAAGCTAATAACTCTGAGTGCACCTCCCGCATGGACGGCCGGATCGTAACCTCGCGACTGCTGCACTTCTCTACGAGAGACTTGCTCTTACCTGCAAGTCCGTTGCCAACTAGAATCTCGAGCTCGTGGTGAGGCTGATGCTCTTTCATCGCATCCGAGTCCATCGAATGACCGAAGGCTGTAGGCCAGTCACCGTGAAGAAGATTATGCGGCCAAACGAATAGACATCTGCTAAAGTGCTGGGTCTTGAGCGGCCATGGAAAACCTCTGGTGCTGCCCAACGGGGAGTTCCCCCCAACGGGTTCGCATGTTTAGTCAAAGACCTTGCAAGCCCAAAGTCTAGCAGCTTTACTTTGACGGGCGTCCATGGACAATCATTTACAACAAAGACGTTTGATGGCTTCAAGTCGCCGTGCACTATAAGGGGTTTCCGCGAGTGCAGATGGCACAATGCTGCCGACAAGCCCACCAGTATCTGCACTCGGTCTTCCTCACTCGGGAGGCCTCGCATGCCAGGAGCGGCTCCACCCTCCCCTCGCCTCGCCTTGAGGAAATGCCCCAAGGTGACTCCCGTCATCCGCTCAAGAACCAGTATCATTGTACCGCTCAGCTCGTCGAGGCAGGCCCCATAAAGAGACACAATGTTCGGATGCCTGACCCTTCTCAGAATGCGCAGCTCGTTGGTCATGGCAACTAGATGTGACCTCGTCAAGAACCCTTTCGGAACCTTCATTGCCACAGAGGCCTCCTGGTGGAGCCCCGCGTAGACTTTTCCGAATCCCCCCTCGCCCAGCAGGTGAAGCGGCTCCACGCTCAGGTCGTCTTGCTGGATCAACCATTGTTCCTTCTCCCCTATCTGCGCAAGCCGTCGCACACACTCGTGCGCATCAGTGTCCAGCGCGAAGGCGCGTGCCGAATCAGAAGTTGACGGAACCGACTCTCCGCTCAGGGATGGAAGTCGACGCGGCAGATCCGGGTGCAGGTTGGACAGTGCGAACTCGGACTGGAAGCGCAGGCGCTTCTCGTTGAGGAGGGTAACGTACAAGAAACGTTCGTGGTACTCGAGGCTGTGCTTCCCTACAGCTGCTAGAACAACGATGCATACTAAGAATAACAGGTGAATGATGGCGTTCTGCATCTCGGGCCCCCCAAGAACAAAAACTGGAACGGTGTAGCATAGAATGCACACGAGATTCAGAAACACACCGATAAAGAATCAGATCGGCAAAGCCATGTTGGTCGTCGTCTACCAACAATGAACAGCACCAAGTGTGTATCCGTTGATCCTTTAATAAACGCCCCTGGCACGTAGCCTAAAGCCCATGCGCTGTACCATGGCGTCGAAAATATATACACAATGAGCCCCACTGAAATAACACAAAGGGCTGCGATCTCCAGCGCACACGTATGGGCTTTGCCGACGAACGGGATGGACCACACCGTAAACGTGCTCAGCGTTAGGAGACCCAGGCCCAGCACTACCCCGCGTGCGCACTCCCTCGCGTGCATGTCTTGGGGACTCTCGTAACGCTTGATAGTGTTAGGTCGGGCATGTCCTCCTACTGGCGGATTTTGGAGAAAAATTAGAAATAGTTAAAAAATGCTCGAACATAGTCGAGAATAGTAGAAAACCCGTCCCCAGACTATTGTCTGACTATGTTTGAATATTCCTCCTGACGACGGACATGCCCGATTCAACGATAGTGTTGTCCCAGGGCCGATCCAGAGTTACGCAGGCCATGGCCAAAACGGTGCCGCACACCGCGCACTTGCGCATGATGGAGATGAGCTCCGGCCCGCGGCGCTTGGCGAACCCATCTTCCAGACCACTGTCAGAGAATCGCAGCGTCAGCCTGCTGAAGCGGCTGCTGCCGAAGGGGCAATCCGCCGCAACCTCTTGCACCTCCAGCGTATTCTCTGACGAACGGGCTCCACGGCAGTCAGCCATGAGAGCCGAAACGGGCTGCGACTGGGGCAGCGGCAAACCTTGAGCCGAACTGGTTACGGACCCGTCGTCTGGGCTGGGTGGCGCTCTGGCAGACATGTGCCCGCCGTCGCCGCCTCGTCGCCGCCCAAGATTGCACAACACAGGCTGTCCATTATAGGTACGTAAAAATCTGGATCTACACCAACCCCAAACGCCCCGAGAATTACCGCCCCCACCTCTTGGGAAAATACTGTTTACATTCGATGTTGTCCCATCTTTCGCTTGAGATATGAAGAACGCATACCGTCCCAGGCAGTGCCGTTATCGACCCCCGCATTCTTGTCGAATAACACAATGCGCGCGCATCCGTTCCTTAAATTATACACGGTCAACGAACCATTAAACAAATGTAACAAACTCGACGCACGAGAGACGTCGCGCGCGCATGCGCACTACTCTGGGAAAACTGAAAATTCCGTATACATATCATGGTCAAGTTTCCCCGATAACAAATTCTTATCGCAACAATGGGTTTGAAGAACAAACGTTCAAACGAAACACACGGCGCGCGCTCTTGCTAATAAAAAACGGAAACCATTAGTTCCAACATGTTCATCAAATCCGACCATGCGGACCTCTCGCGCGCTCATGTCGAAATCATTCGCACGCCCTCTACACGTTTGCTGGGGGGCACGGCCCCTGTCAAATAACACCACGCGGGCAACTCACCCGCATCGGCCGCGCGCGCAAGTCGAAATCTTGCCAAAACCCTCATCACCGACACGTGGACACCATCATCGTCATCGGCGTGACCAGCATAGGCGCCGTTATTGGCCTTGCCATCGTCATCGTCATCATCATCACCAGCATCGCTACTATCATCATCGTGTCTGCCTCTGTCGGCGTCGCAATGATAGCGCGCCCGTCCGAATCACCGATTCATACTGACATGCCCGAGCATCAGCGCGGCCTCCGAGACGATGTGCCCAACGGTCAGCACCACCGCAGCCGCGCCAGTCGCGCCAAACTAGCCGGCCGCTCTGCGCGCGAGCCTGCGCGCGCTACCGCGGCCGCAGCGATGCGCCAGCCAGTCACCGCAATCGCCGCCGCATGGGTTTTGCAAACTAAGTTGCAGGTGGGTGGAGGGGATGATTGCGCAAGTAGTGGAGTTGACAACTTAAGTTCTGCAAAGCGGCTTGCACCACATCGATTGCACCAAATTGATTGCACCGCACAAATTGCACAACAAAGACGGATCCACCACGATTGCACAACATATATTACACAACATGAATTGCACGACATCGGTTGCACCACGTAGAATATCCTTTCTTAGACTCTATCCCCCCTCCCGGGATTATCCACCCCCATTTTCGTATTGCGATGTACATGCGAATATGTCCAATCGTCCATCCTAAATATGAACTCGTATCATCCCAGCCGAGCCGGTATCCGCCACCCCCGGCCGTCCTTTGCAGAAAATATGATACTGGAGAAATACCCAAATCAGAACGTGTGTTGGGCTATAGGGCTATGGGGCTGTAGGGCTATAGGGCTACAGGGCTGTAAGGCAATGGGGTTGCAGGGCTATAAGGCTACAGGGCTATTGTGCTATAGGGCTCTACGGTTATAGGGCTATAGGGCTGTAGGACTGACTATAGGGCTATGGGGCTATATGGCTATAAGGCTAATGGGTTATAGGGCTATAGGGCTACAGGGCTATTGGGCTATATGACGTGTAGGGCGATTAGGGCTATAGGGCTATAGGGCTATAGGGCTATAGGGCTATAGGGCTGTAATGCTATAGGGTTATAGGGCTATAGGGCTATTGGGCTATTGGGCTATATGACGCATAGGGCGATTAGGGCTATAGGGCTATAGGGCTATAGGGCTATAGGGCTGTAATGCTATAGGGTTATAGGGCTATAGGGCTATAGGGCTATCACTGTATAGGGCTACCGGCTACCAGGCACCTGGGCACCCGGGCACCTGGGCGCCCGGGCACCCGGGCACCCGGGAACCCGGGCACCCCCGGGCACCCGGGCACCGGGGCACCCGGGAACCTGGGCACCCGAGCACGCCTCCGAAATCTGCGGCACACCTCATCGAACCATATGAATCCGCTAGGACTCCTACAGAGGAAAGCTCTGATTGGGGAACAATTACAACCTGAGAAAACCCAATCAGTGCGTGATTTGAAAATGTATACTATGGATCTGGAGATCGGATGTGAGTCCCACGCGGATCACCTCGGGACCTCGCCGCCCCCTCGGGGGCTTGCGATCTGCGCAACTGTCGCCACTTTCGTGGGCTCCTGGGAGGCCCAGCGGAGGTACGTCATACGCGGATCACCACACAGGACCTCGCCGCCCCTGGGGGGCTAGCGATCTGCGCAACTGTCGCCACTTTCGTGGGCTCCTGGGAGGCCCAGCAGAGGTGGGCCCCACGAGGATCACCTCGGTACCGAGCCGCCCCCTCGGGGGCTTGCGATCTGCGCAACTGTCGCCACTTTCGTGGGCTCCTGGGAGGCCCAGCGGAAGTGGGTCCCACGCGGATCACCTCGGTACCTCGCCGCCCCCTGGGGGGCTTGCGAGCTGCGCAACTGTCGCCACCTTCATGGGCTCCTGGGAGGCCCAGCGGAGGCGGGTCCCGCGCGGATCACCTCGGTACCTGGCCGCCCCCTGGGGGGCTTGCGATCTGCGCAACTGTCGCCACTTTCGTGGGTCCCACGCGGATCACCTCGGTACCGAGCCGCCCCCTGGGGGGCTTGCGATCTGCGCAACTGTCGCCACTTTCGTAGGCTTCTGGGAGGCCCAACAGAGGTGGGTCCCACGCGGATCACCTCGGTACCTCGCCGCCCCTTTGGGGGGCTGCGATCTGCGCAACTGTCGCCACTTTCGTGGAGGTGGGTCCCACCCCCTGGGGGGCTTGCGATCTGCGCAACTGTCGCCACTTTCGTGGGCTCCTGGGAGGCCCAGCGGAGCGGGTCCCACGCGGATCACCTCGGCACCTCGCCGCCCCCTGGGGGGCTTGCGATCTGCGCAACTGTCGCTACTCTCGTGGGCTCCTGGGAGGCCCAGCCGAGGTGGGTCCCACGCGGATCACCTCGGTACCTCGCCGCCCCCTGGGGGGCTTGCGATCTGCGCAACTGTCGCCACTTTCGTGGGCTCCTGGGAGGCCCAGCGGAGGTGGGTCCCACGCGGATCACCACGGGACCTCGCCGCCCCTGGGGGGCTTGCGATCTGCGCAACTGTCGCCACTTTCGTGGGCTCCTGGGAGGCCAAGTGGAGGTGGGTCCCACGCGGATCACCACGGGACCTCGCCGCCCTTGGGGGGCTGCGATCTGCGCAACTGTCGCCATTTTCGTGGGCTCCTGGGAGGCCCAGCGGAAGTACGTCATACGCGGATCACCACGGGACTTATTGCTGCGCTTTTCTGAAAACATTGTTGGGTGCTCTTTCTGCGCACTGCGGGTCCTTCAGGATGCCAGTCAGCATTGAATGGTCCTGAGTAGAATCGCCACGTGTATAGAAAGGGTTGGGTACGTCACAGGGTTGTTGTTTAATCAACGTGGGGAGGGGTCTCGCCTAGCAGAGGGTGCAGCGCAGCAGATGGGGCATGTCTAGTTTTTTGTATATGAAAAATCAGCTTGGGGAGGGGCCTTGCTCTGCAGAGGGTGCCGCACAGCAAGGTCCAGACCACCAGACCACCAGACCAACGGACCACCGGACCACCGGACCACAGAACCACTGGACCACCGGACCACCTGACCACCGGACCACCTGACCACCGGACCACAGGATCACTGGACCGCCAGACCACCTGACCACCAGACCACCAGACCACCAGACCACCAGACTGCCAGACCACCAGACCACCAGACCACCAGACCACCAGACCATACGTCTTGGAACCTACAATTGGACTGAAGCCCCTCATGGGCCGTTTTGGGGCTCTCTTGGGCCGTCTTGCGGCCCGCTTGGACCGTTTTCGGTTCCTTTTCAGGGGCCTCGTGAGCCGTCTGGGGACGATCTTTGGAGCCTCTTGGGCCGTTTTGGGCCCTTCTTGGCCCGAAAAAGCAAGAACACCAAAAACTACCAATAATCGTGGAAATCGATGCCTTGTGCCTCTGTGGGCCGTGCTGGGAAGCCTCTTGGAGGCCTCCTGGGGCGTCTCGGGGCCCTCTGGAACCATCTTGAGGCCATATTGGGCCATCTTGGAACGGTCTTGGACGGTCTTGGCGTCTGCTGGAGCGATCTGATCGGGGACGCGCAAACATGGATTAGCGATCCATGGATTTGGCGCCATGAATCGGGGGAGGTGCCCTCCCCAAAATGCGGCTGGTGCCGCCTCGTTCGGCGGCGAAAATCAGCGATGTCCCATGGAAACGGGAGCCGTCGCTAGTCCACGCCCACAGGATCCACGTTTGCGTTCGCCGGAAGTGAGGGCCGCCTTGGAGCTGCCCCCCTCCCCCCCAGGGTCCTTCCGACAGCACGTCGAAAACCATGAAGGTCACGAACTCCCACTCCGAGCCTCCACCCCGCGGCCCCGCCGCTCGCCGGGCCCGCTGCCCCGCGCGCCCCCTCCCGTCCTTCCACCGGCCCTCCCGCTCTCGCGCCCCTCCCAACACCGTCAGCATCACGTCCTGCCCCTCCACTCCCCTCCCTGCCCTCCCCCTGCCCTCCCTCCCTCCCCATTCCCCTCCCTATTCCTCTCACCTCCCTCCCCCCCATCCCTCCCTCGCTCCCTTCCCTGCCTTGCCTCCCCCCCACTCCCCCCTGCCATTTTGGCTCAAGCGACTCCACGGCCTCGCCTTGAGGCGCAGCCGCGGGACGCCGGGGCCCAGAGTGGCTTCCTCGAACCTCGGCGCCACTCTCGTGGAGGCTGCCGTGCGGGCCGCGGTGCTGGCCGGGGAACCGCTGCACACGCCTGCAGCCATCGCACGCTCGACCATCTCCGCCGCGCTCTTCGCGGGCGGGGATGGGCCGAAGCCGACGGTGGCGGCCGCGCCTGCTGCTGCCCCTGAAGCTTGCGCTGCCTGCTGCCCCCCCCACCGCCGCCTCCGCGGCGAA